ATAACACTAATTGAAATTTAAATTTTATGTGTAAATATAGTTAACCAAATGGGCAGTGGTTTACCCACTTGTAAATGAAAGATGCCATATTTCTACAGTTCAACACACTTACATCCAAACAATGTAAGGCTTGGAATACAAACCGTTACCGGGTTGAGTCATTGAGCTGGTGTAGACGCCTGGCCTGGACAGACTCTGCCACTTCTTCTCTACTGCAGCCTAACAGAGCATCAATGCTGGAGGCCGTGTCAAAGCGTTACAGCGAAACAGAGAAGACCACAATGACACAGGAATATTACGAGGATGGTTCCTGGCTTTGGGGAAGGACAACATTCACTTTACTGGAGGAGCAACTCTTCCTGTGTTTTCACTGCCAGCTTGCATCTGCTTACACAAATCAGGATAGACCATTGTGTTCATTAAGTGGTGTCTAGACGCAGATCTCTCTCTATCCCTCCCTTTCATCCTTCTTTCCTTTCTCTCCCTCTCTTGAAATAACCTTTTGTTTAGTTTAGCAGGTCAGGAACTTAGTGTGTAGACCAGGCTGTCCTTGAACTCATATATTGACTCCCTGCCTTGGCCTCCACAGTGATACGATTAAATGCACCATCACAACTCTTCATAGGACGTGATGAAATATTTTCAGATCTTTTTCTCAATCATCTTTATTGTTTGTTTTCCACGGTATACCATGGAGTATACCATGGTAAAGTAAACATGGGTCTCTACCGTGCAACAATATTCTGAGAAATGCAGAAAGATGATAAAACTATTACATGTGCAGGGCTTTCATTTGTGTTGTCTTTAGATTGCATAATGAAGAGGAAACAATGAGAAGAACAATGAAAATGTATCTAAAGTTGGCAAAGCTCGCACAAAATTAGTGTATTCCTTGTGGTTCAACTTCATCTGACAAAACCTTAGGGATCATTCCACATTTCCACCTTACACACTAATGACGAGTGTACACACTTCAACCTCATTATTTTCATCATTAATCTGTCTTAACTATTTTGTGTCATCACTTCTTTACACTATACTGTCTCCTTATGTTTTGGAGGTTTTTTTTTTAAATGAAACTGAGGTTGCATAATCAGGAAATTGGATATTTGATACCAAAAGATGCTGAATACAGAGGTCCTCGGAGCTTTTAAACCTGACAAAAATCTCGAGGTAACAAAAGTAAACGTATGTGAGGCTTTTCATCTGTCAAGTCAGATTGGATTAGTCTGTAAGATGCAAGCTTGGTTTACTCTTACCTCTGCGTGTGTATGGATGCTTCTGTGCATTTGTGTCTGTGCACCCCACGCAGGCTCTGACACCCCTGGATTTCACAAGAACGCACTGGATCCCCTGGAATCCAGCTCACACTGACGTGAGCTCCCTTGTGGGTTCCAGAGGAATGGGAGGCAGCAAGGGAAACCCGCTGCTTCGCATGCACCTGCCCAAGGAGAAGGTCACTTCCAGGTCGTGCTGTCTTCACTGAAGAAGCAGTAGCCTCATCTGCTGCCCCTTGTCCACATTAAGGGCATCTTTGGGCTGCCCCAGTGCACTGAGGTCATAGGCGAGTAGCGGTCCTGCCCCGGCCCTGCAGCCTGTTAGACACCCTTCTCCTGCAGCTGACTGAGTGAGTCTATTTAGTGGCAGAGGCCCCTGATCTACCTGTGTGACAAGGGTGGCAGCTTCTCTCTTCGCCCACAGGGTAAGGGACCAATAACTCAATGCAAATTCACCCCTCCTTCCTCTGCTCTGCTTCTCTCTGGGAACAATAACGTGATGACTAAAGTCTTTCCTTCCCCATCCTGCTGGTCACTGCTCAGCATCCTCAAGAGGACACCATGTCCTGTGTCAGGGTGGAGGTGGGAGAAACCTTGGGAGGATGTGGTTATGCCCTTTTCTGAGCTCCTCGCCACTTGTCAGCACATTGAAAGCCATAGGCTGATATCACCAAGATGGGATTCTATGCCAGGCGCAGAAGGCCTAATAGTTGATCCCCACATCTCTGTTTTAGGATCAAAAGTGACTTTTCTTTTTGTGACTCTTCTTATTTCCTGGAGCTCAGCTCCCAGTGGGCCTGCATTTGCTGTGAACTATGCACAACACCTTCCCCACTTCCCTTTCAAATGTGGTGGCCGTTACATCACCAGGTGACAATTCTAGTAGTGGTTGGTGAGGCTCAGTTTCCTTAGCAGAGGGCTGAGTTCTCTCTGAACGAGAGCTGGTGACTGACTCTTGTGATGCCGCCCTTTTGAAGCCTGTGGTCTTGACTCGGAAGCGGCTGATTTGTAAGAGTGCATAGGGAAAGGGGTGCTGCTAGGAATCGTGGTAGACTTGGCCGGACTGGGCTGGGGAGAAAGGAAGCCTGTGCTGACACATTATTTACACTTTCTTACAGTTTGCCTGAGCATTCAGAAAGCAAGGCTCACCACAAGCTATAGAGGTCAGGCAGTGTTGTCACACATCTTTAACTCCAGGACTCGGGAGACAGGTAGATGGATCTCTCTGAGTTCAAGAACACCCTGACCTACACAAGGGTGAAGAGGAACAGACCTCATACCTTTGATGTTCAGGAAGGATTGAATGTCAACGTTTTGAATTATTCTGTGTTGCTATAGTTATGTTCAGAGCCATGAGATAGGACCTGTGTCTCATGTGTGTATTGGATGTATTTATAATGTATTAATACACATAATATAATCATTATCCACAAGCCTGAAAAGGAATAAGAATGAAGGGAGCTGAGAAAGAAAACAAAAAATCAAAAAGAAATATATGTAATTTACAACCCTGGGGGCCATAGAATTATCATTAAGCTATCCTTTACCATGTCTCTTTACTTCCATTAATTAAACTGTTTTTGGATGCAAAAAACTTGTGGAATCTTGAGCTCCTGAAGGCGTTAGATTAGATACAGGATGATTTGCTGGACTTACTTCTCACTGACTAAGACAGGGACTTTAAAACAAAGACAGATTGATTCAAATACTGGGAATGTGTGTCACTGTTCATTCTCCATGCCACCTGTCCTCAGTGACCCTTCCAACATTATAGCAATAGGTCAGACATTTTCAAATACACAATCCAAATTCTGGAACATTCAGCATGTCTTCTCAGGAGAGGCCAGGGTTTAATTCACACATATGTTCTGTTCACTAGAAGGTACCTATATGAATGTAAGACACATGTAAAAGTAACTTGTGCTCTCCTGGTAAATGGGTGCAGTCACTAGTGAATGTGATAAGGTAGGGTAAGTGGGTGCTGTCACCAGTGTGACTCTTTGGCGGGGAGTGTGTGAGAGAAGAGACAGCCCATGGAGGCAGGCTTACAGTACTCTGAAGACACTAGGTGAGTTGGTGGTGTCACTTGTGCAATGTCTATTCTCCCAAGGTTACTGGAATCCTACTGGTTTCATGTGTCAGTGTTGTTTGGGATCAATGACGTAACCCATCTGAGTTTGAAAGACTGTAAGAGACATCTTTGGGTAGATACAGGCTGGGGTGGAGCTAGGCTTATATCACATTCATCAGACTTGTCAATCACCAGATCCAGACATGGTCTTTATTCTCTCTACTCCTTTCCTCTCCATCATGATGATAATGGACTGAACTTCTGTAATCGAGGCAACACAATTAAATATTCACTTTATAATAGTAGCTATGGTCATGCTGTCTCTTCCCGCAATAAAAACCCTAACTAAGACACCCAGCTACCCTGTCATCCTCCCCATGGCCAGCCTTCCCTTGCAACTCCTGCAGACCCCACAGGCACAGGCACAGCCCACACCAGTTGGAGAAACAGTAGACTCCAACGGTCTGGCACAATCCACACCAGTGAGTAGAACAAGAGGCTACACTGGAACTAGGTACACAAACACCCACAATCTTCAGCTGAAAAAACCCTACCGACCGTGGACACTTGCCAGTCACCAAAACCCATGGTCACTCAGTACAGAAGATAATAAATGAAACAGATACTAAAGGAACAAAACACCCGTCCAACAAAGACAGCACAAGAGTCAACACTCATACCTATAACCATGCCAACCGCAGATGGGTGAATGCCAGTGTAAGAATATATACAGTTAGCCGGGCGGTGGTGGCGCACGCCTTTAATCCCAGCACTCGGGAGGCAGAGGCAGGCGGATCTCTGTGAGTTCGAGGCCAGGCTGTACCGACAGCCTCCAAAACAATACAGAGAAACCCTGTCTCGTAAAAACCAAAATTTTTTGATAGGCAGCACATACAAAAATTAAATGAAGGCCGGGCGTTGGTGGCACACGCCTTTAATCCCAGCACTCGGGAGGCAGAGGCAGGCGGATCTCTGTGAGTTTGAGACCAGCCTGGTCTACCGAGCGAGTTCCAGGACAGCCTCCAAAGCCACAGAGAAACCCTGTCTCGAAAAACCAAAAAAAAAAAAAATTAAATGAAGACCAGATGAATAATTTAAATAGACCTATAACCCTAAGGAAATACAAGCAGCCATTAAAAGACTCACAGCCAAAAAAAAAAAAAAAAAGTCCAGTGCCAGATGGTTTCAGTGAAGAATTCTACCAGAATTTCAAAGAGCAGCTAAAACCACTAGTCTTCTTATTGTTCCACACTAGAGAAACAGAAGGCAAATTACCAATTCTTTTTCTGGGACTACAGTTACTCTGATACCCAAATTACACAAAGATGCAACAAAGAAAGAGATTATAGACCAATCTCCCTCAGAAACATTAATGCAAAGATACACAATAAAATACTGACAAACAGAATCTTAAAACAAATTCAAACAATTATCCACCATAATTAAGTAGACTTCATCCCAGAGATGCAGAGATGGCTCAACATAGGAAAATCTGTGAATATAATCCAACATATATATATAAACTGAAAGAAAAAAAAGCCCACTTGATCATCTCATTAGACACTGAAATATAAATATGGTAATCTTACCAAAATCAATCTACAGATTCCATGCAATCCCCATCAAATTTCCAACAAAATTCTTTGCAGATCTCAAAAGAACAGTACTCAATTTATTATGGAAAAACAAAACAAAAAAATACAGGACAGAAAATCAAAGCTTCACATGTCTATAGAGTCCTTGCCCAGCCACATGGCGTGTGTCGTAGCCATGACACATAAGGGCCTGCCTGAATGCCCGTGTGCCTACCTTTCCAGTTGCCAGGGGCGGGGGCGGAGTCAGAATAATATCTGAATCTTTATATTCTCACCTTTATTCAATATTAAAAAGGCGAGGAGCTAGGCACATCAGGTTAGGGAGTAAGGGCGTCGAGTTCTCAAGACTACTTCCTGCTGACCTTGGGGACGTCGCCCGTCTGTGGGGACCTGAGAAAGCTGGGTGCCCCCAGGTCCTGGGGTAGTTGGAGGTTTCCTTGCAGTCCAGGCTGTGTGGAACTCTCTGGAGCCTCTTAGACCTGGGAAGACGTTGGCAGAGCAGAGGGCAAGGTTAAGTTTAGGAAAATAATTTTCTTAGGTCTTGGTGCTTTAGGGGAGGAGGGTCTTAAAATGAGGGAGGGGTTCCCGAGGGAGTCCCAAGGTGAGGGAAGGGAGTCCTGGGACCAGGGAGAGGTTGAATAATATTTATCTGGAGTGAATCTGACCTGTTTGGGTGGGTCCAAATCAGCACCCTGGGAATTCATGAAAATTTTTTGAGTTTGTAAAAAGACAAATTTTAGACACATTAGCATTTCCATTGTTAATGATCTGTAATGAAATTTGCATTGTAGAAATGGCAGTATACTCATTTCAGAATTGACTTGGTTGAAAGCATTAACATTTTTAAAACTGACAAGTATCTTTACCACAATGAAAGGCATCTTAAATTCGAGCATGCAGTTATGATTGCATACTGGTACAGTATGATGTTCAGTACCCTGTCAGAGTTGGATTAATAGCTTATCAGAACCTTATTGATTAGTGTTTATACTATGAATAGCAGCACAATAAGAGACAGAAACATGTTTTACTGTTTTGAATGTCTCAAATCACTTTTTTGTCATCACTTAAGCTTTTTTATCCTCAGACCTTCTTCATAACTTGCATACTCAAACCTTTATACACCTGACACTTTCCTATCTTCTCATAAACCTTAAAACACCTGTTCCTGAAATCTGCTTTGTGATGGTTGGAGCCTTGGCTGCTGCTTTAAGCTGGCAAAGCTACCAGTCATCAAAAGCATCAGAGTTCTTGAGACGGATAAAATTTTACCTGAATTAATGACTAGAGAGCAACAGAGACTTACTAGCTGGCTGCATGGACAGCCACCCCCAGAGTCCTCCATAGTTGTTGAGGGTAGAGGCTTTAAGGACGCCTGCCTTCTGCTGTTAGCAAGGGGTCTGAGCATTAGGAGCTTTAGGAAGACTTGCCTACTGTTGGGCCAAGCAAATGTGGAGAAAGTCGATTCCTCTGTCCTCTTGTCCACGCTCTGAAGAGTCCATTGCAGCATTTGGGGTGAAAGGCAGGATTAGCTCAGGGGAAACACCTGCCACTTATGAAGCAAGTTTCGGGTGGAGTTTCTTCAGTGTCCAGTCTTCTTTGGAGGAGATGGGTGGTGCCAGCAGGTGACCTGTCTCTCTGTTATGCAAGGCTTTTTAATAAAACACGTTAAATGCCACATTCTCTACATCTCTGAGCATTTGGGGGATGTCTGTCTGTTTAGTACATCTCAGTAGACAAAATTTGTCTTTAGTTACTTGCCGTAAGCACATAGGTGGCTAGGTAAGGTTTTATCACAGTAATTAATTAATTTGTACTTAGTGTGGCTACAATAGCATCTGTCTGAAGAACTGGAGTCAAGCTGAGAGGCTGGGGAGGGTTGTTTTACTCAGAGCCCTCCAGTCTGACTGTAACTGGTTTTAACTTAGTAGGTTAGACTTATGCCTGTAAAGGACAAGGAAGTAGAGAAGATCCCCTTCTGTAATAAAAGCTTAACCTTTGTAAACAGCTTACAGGAAGGACTGGGTGGTGTAAATATTTTTCTAATTTGAAATAGACCTTAACTAATAACCTTAAATTTTTATCATCATATAAGAATACATAGCAATTTAGAAATATTTGAGACTTAGCACAGTTATATTGAGTGTGAGCTTACATTCACATATATGAAGTTAACTTCAAACCACATGTACAGAGACATGCAGACACATCAAACATGACTTGTACAGGTAAGAAGAAAGGGAGAACCAGAAAGCACTTTCTGATTTGCACTTTGTAGCAAACAGACAGGACATTCACAGAGACGGAGTAGACTTAAATCTACCTCTCAGTGACAGGAAAGCAGTTCCGCTGCAGACGGAACAGGCAGGTTTTTTGGTTTTGGGTTTTTGGGGTTTTTGTGTGTGAAATATGTGCCCTACCAGGCTCTGGAAAAGCATGCCATTACACAAACAAACCATGAGCAACAGAGCAGGTGAAAGAAGAAATTAGAGACAAATAAAGGCAAAAAAGTAAATGAACTATGTCTGGCCGCAGCGCTTGTTGACAGGAGCTGGCTAGACTGTCCCTCTACCTAGGCTGAGGGAAGGAAGTAGTCCAGAGAGTGGGCAGACCTATGCCTAGGCCACATGGTCGCTCTCAGTCAAGATGCTAGGGTTCAAAACCCGAGAGACTCCTTGCGAGTCTGAGAAGCGAATTCACCTATCAGTATGGACCGTGCTAGGGTACAAACCCCGAAAACCTCATTCGTGGGGAAAAAAATGAAAACTCCCAGAGTGTCCTGAGCAGAAGCTGTCTCCGGCCAGGCTACAATGAGCCCCTGGCTTCTGCACAGAGAAGAAACCGAGTAGCACAGCTGGATAGAAAAGAGGAACCCACCCTATCCCAGGCTGAATGGCTTGGCAGAGATGAGACAAAGAGGAGGGAGAGACTTTTTGCGCAGGAATATAAGATGTCTAACTTCCCAGGCAGACAAAGGTTCCCGCCTCAAGGAAGGACTGGTCATGCTGGGAGGTGGCGGAAAGCGGGAGAGTTTTTAGCAGCGAGGAAGAGAGAAACACACACACGTGAAAACGAGCAAGGCCTCACTTTTAACTGTGGGTCCTGTTTTAGCTTCCATAGCTTGAAGGACATGAGATGGAGAAGAGGAAGAAGAGGAGGAAATGTCCAGCTGAGAGACAGAAGGAGGTCTACACACGCGGTGACTGCTTTCATTTATCTGTCTGCTGGCTCTAATTGGAAAGGTCCCATAAAATAACGGGATCTAAAGAGCTGATAAGTGGCCAATTTGACTTATTATCTAGGGGGTATTTGGGTCATTTCTTAGCACAGAGGTGAGTGAATCTGCGGACCTTCACACGCTGTGTTAGGTGAGGAGGTTTGGGGTTTCTTACAGGCATCTCAGCAGAGTGGGTGGGCTTATATTTCTTGTTGGTTTACTTCCCATGGGTGAGATACAGAGTACCACAGACCATTCATGTGACTCCTCAGTCCAAGAACTAGGGCGAAGGGCTAAAACCAACAGGATTCCTTAGTCTGAGAGAAGGCAGTAATCTGTAACCGCCAGAGGCATGGGGCAGAAAAAGGCAAATGTACTGCCCAGTGAGGGTGGTGTTAGGCCTTGCTCGTGGGAATTCTATCAAAGGCGATAGTCAGCAAGAGAGATCAGCCATGGCCTTGTATGCTGTGCCTGGGGGGGGGTGCCACCCCCGCCTGCTTCCAAAGACGCCAGAAGGGTGCCAGATGATCGAACCTCACTCCCAGGGGTTGAAAGAAATGTTTATGCTGCTTGGGAGACAGGATACCTTACCAAACTGTAGCCGGTGTGTTTTGGGGGAGGGGTGTCTCAGTGGATGGAAAGTGGGCTGTCGATTCAGGATCAGGGTGCCCAAGTGACTCTGGCTGCGTGCCAGCAGGTGGCGGGAGAAATTACAGAGAGAGTCTGAGTTTCATGGCATCAAATGTTGTTGCTTTGCAAAACTCAATAAATCCCATTTGGAATTTACTGGGGAAAGGGAACAAAGGGGGGCAGGTGTTGATCAACCAGGGACAGAGATGGAAGGGGAAGGGAAAGGGGCGAACAGGTGGGAGGGGCTAAAAAGGGAAAGCTTACACATGCGTACAGAGTCCTTACATGACCACTAACATGAGAAGTAGCCAGACAACACAGGGCCCTTAGAGCTGTCTAAGAATCTGCCTGAATGTCAGTGCGTGTACCTTGCCGGTTGCCAGGGGTCTGAGTCAGCATAATGCCTGAGTCCTTATAGCTACAGTAATAAAAATAGCATGGGATCGGCAGAAAAACAGACAGGTGAATCAATGAAATTGAATCAAAGACCTGGACAGGAATCCACACACCTATGAACACCTCATTTTTAACAAAGAAATAAAAATTCTACAACGGAAAAAAGAAAGCATCTTCAACAGTGCTGGCAATACTGGATAACAGCATGCAGAAGAATGCAAAGAGACCAATATCTGCCACCCTGGACTAAACTCAAGTCCAAGTGGATCCCAGACCTCAACATAAATCCAGTTACACTGAACCTGATAGAAGAGAAAATGGGAAGTAGCCTTTAACAGCTTGGCACACCATATAACTTCCTGAATAGAACACCAGTAGTGGATAAACTAGGGGTGGGGCGAAACAGGGACTAGTAACATGGGGGATTGGGTTGGATGTCTTGGGCTCCAGAAGGAAGGGAGAGTAATGAAAGAGATATCTTGATGGGGGCATTTCAGGGTAGGGAGAAGCCTGGTGTGAAGGAAACTCCCAAGATTCACAGGAAGGCACTAGCTAAGAGTCCTACCAAAGGTAGAGACAGTGTCTGAACTAATGAGTGACTACCCTCATTGTCATCAGAGAGCCTTCATCCAGTAACTTATTGAAGCAGATGCCGAGATCCACAGGCAAGCACTGGGCAGAATGTTGGATGTCCTCTTGAACAGAGGGAGGAGGGATTGCATGATCCAGTGGGGAGTCAAGATCATGATGGAGGAACCCACCAGGACAGCTGAAGTGAACTCATGAGAGCCTACCGACTCTGAACCAACATCTAGGGAGCCTGCACAGGACCAACATAGGCCCTCTGCATGTGTGTGACAGTGTTGTAGCTTGGTCTATTTGTGGGGCTCCTTTCACTGGGGTGACCAGGATCCCTGTACAGGACTGGACCTGTCCCTGGCACTTGAGCTGGCAGGAGGAGTGGAGAGAATGAAAACTGTGCACTGGATGTAAAATAAAAGAAAAATATTAATAAAAATCTGGAAAAATATAAATTAGAAAAAGTTTAGAGGTTTTCATTCCTTCATGACTCTATTGTTACATTCTAAACTTATTTTCTCTCAAGTTTGGTTATTTTCCATTTTTAGTTTATCTCTATCCTTCATGTGAAAATTATACATAAAGTGATTTAGAGTATCTAATGGCTCAGCAATTTTTAATAAAAGCTGATTGGATCTCAAGTTCAGGCACTTGAGCTGTATACCCAAGGGAGAGGACAATATTTGTGAAGTATGAGTAATTTGGATTTGAATATATATTTGTTATCCTTTGCAGAGGAATCTTTAAAAGCGTTAATAGCCGTGTCTACTGTACACCCAAGGGAGAGGACAATATTTGTGAAGTATGAGTAATTTGGATTTGAATATATATTTGTTATCCTTTGCAGAGGAATCTTTAAAAGCATTAATA